CCCACACCCACACCCACACCCACACCCACGCCCACACCCACACCCACACCCTCCTGAAAAAGTGATTGTCGATCAATATTGTTGTTGGTGGAAAAGGACAAGAAAAACAATCAAATCAATTCAATGGTCCTAGTGGTTTATCATTTGATCAACAAGGTAATCTTTATATCGTTGAAGGAGGGAATGATCGAATAGAAAAATTTGAAATTGTTTAGATTAAAGTTATTTGTATAATTCAATAAAATTTTGATGAATGATCATCTATTTCTTCTCTAAATTTATAATTTTATTCTCATATTCTTGATAATATGTTTATTAAAAGTAAAAGAGAAACAAGGATAGAGATCATGAAACAGATAAAAAATGAATTAAATTCAATCATCGAAGGTTTACAAACAATAGTTAGCGACAATGTTGAATCATTGAAAAGAGAAGAAGAAGACAATGACAACAAAAATCCATTGTTCAAATGTTTATTAAATGTTAATGTCTTGGTTGAATTCGATTGAAGCAACGACGTGCAATACGTCTTAGTGCATCACGATATATTGAACCAGTGAGTGTGTACAAGTAAAAGGATGTTGAGTGAGTGAAATAGACAAGAAGTATGATCAGAGAATACGTCAAAATTTCGACGGCCACACGATATGCACTTTTAGGAACATCCGACGTTAAACTAGCATATGGACGATATATTCCAAATGGTAAATCCAAAGGAAGAACAATCAATACCTAAAAAGGATATTGAAAAGTTTTTTTTTTAAATTAATACATCAATAAGACAGTAAATGCTTGCTCATTTTTTTTTTCGTAATCAGTTTTAACATCGAAAAAAGCAATTCTATGCAAATAATGAAAAGAGTTCCTTATGGATTACTCTTCTCTCTCAAAATGATAATCAAATCAAGGTAAAAGATCTCAGATCAAGAATCATCGATGTTATCCTATATGTCAACAAGAATTTTTCTCAATATTTGTGTTCCCTATCGCCTTTATCTTATTATTATTGTTATTATTCTACGTCTTGTTGTACTTTCAATATTAGCTGAAGAAACAAAGAGTAGGACTTAAAATTTAATATGAATCACAAGATTGAAGAGATAAAATAGTGAACAATTGACTAATGTATTTTTTCCATAGTATATAAAACGACTACAAAATAGAAATTGTGGAAAAAGAAATTAAATTTACTTGAACTAATAACATTCGAGTGAGATTGCGTTCTTTGTTTCGCATTGGTAGTCTATTATTGTTTCTATTGTCCGAGTTAACTGCATGTACAATTGGATGAATCACTCGTGTTTGAACATTACGTATAGTTAATGTACCAAAAATGGCTAGAAAAAGGCTAGGCAATAAAATATCGACTGTTAAGGCCACCCAATCATTAAAAATTCGACAAGGAAGATTACGACCATAACAAGCAACTGGAACATTAGGAACACTTGCTTCGAAACAATAGAATACTTGGATAAATAGAAGTGCATAGAAAATGAAAATTCCGATCACATAACGTTTTGCCACTCGATTTGTACTCCATTGACGATAAGTAGCCGAATGACTACTGCACAAGAATCGATCAATACTTGCTCCAACAAGACTCCAAGTACCCATTGCCCAACTGATGCTAAGAATATACAGACGAATTTTACAAACAGGTGGATTTTGATTTGGCCAGTTGACGTTATAACTACAATATAGTGTTGGAGATAAAAATCTTGTTTTAAAGATCAATCTTCACTAAGACATATAAATGGCATTCAATAAATTATTGCTTTCAGAGCTTTTCATAAGACTTAACAAATTGAATGTTTATACTTCAATACAATTTTCTTCTACATAATCAGAGATTTAAAATCAAAGAGAAAAAGATTTTTTGTTTTTTGCCATAATGTCATGAATGGAACTGAAGAATTTTATAAAACGACTAAACTTTACTTGTTAATTGCATTCATTTATTTCAGAACATTTTTTTTTATTTATAATAGATAGTTTATTTTAAATATATTTTCAGACTTAAAATGGCAATTCTTTTTCAAATCCATTTTAGATAAGAAATTTCGAATCTATCGTTGGAATGAAAGCAACAGAGTTCATTAATCGACAGATACTACATGATTTATATATAACTTACCCTTGTAGAACTCGTGTTAATAATCCTGACCAAAGAAGCACTGTACTTGACACAGATGACCAGGAAAGATAGATTGCACATCGAGTTTCATGCAAAGAATGCTCGTGTAGAACGCAAACATTGAGTAGATTACCTATGGTACCAAACAGAATCATGAATGCAGCTCCATGGCGATTAACTTGCATCGTAGCATAATTGATAGAAGATATCAGATTGATATTATCTGACATTTTCCAAATATCAATCAATCGTGTCGAGATCTACTAAAAGCTAATAATAAATACTTTTTTTTTTTTTTTTTTTTTTTTTTTTTTTTTTTTTTTTTTTTTTTTCCTCGTTGTTAATATTGTTCTCGAATGTTAATGAAAATAATTATAAAAAGTATTTCTGTCGCTGCACATCAAAGATGACAGCATTACTTTGTCATAGATGTCTTTCTTCTTTTTTTGTAAACTCTAATTAGATAACACTATTCATTTAGCTTCTATTCTTGTTTACTTTCTTCATATCGCAAAAAAAATGTTAATCGCAGGACAGAAGATACAAAAAAAGTTTTAATGAAAGAATAGAGAAAATAAAGAAGGATCAATGAGATGACAAGAATTCCGATTTATTTTCATTCAGATTGGTAAGAAGAAGGCGAAGAACTAAAACCATCTTAGTGTAATAAAATTAAACAGTAAATGAGAAAAGATGTGTCATTTATTGAAGGAAAAAAGATGTTACATATTCGAGATAAAAAGAAGATTGTCGTTATCATAATGCTCTTTTAGCTTTATTAGAATTAAAAGTAGTTGGTTATTCTTATTCAGATATAACCTCTTTCTAATGAGTTCACTACTCTCGAGATGAAATAAAAATAAAAATAAATATAAAAAAGTTTTTTGTGTTTTTGTAAATGTTTATTTATTGACTAGTTTCTGTGTGATTTAAACCACACGTCATCAGAATTTACAAAAAACTAATCCGAAAAATTAATTTATACAACAGCAACAACAAAATGGGAACAAAATCTTATGGTCTAAAGGATCTATAAGATTGACAAGAAAAATAGATGATCGAATGGACCTCTCTAATTACTCGTGAAAAACGAATCAACAAAGAGAAAACGGCGCTATTTGGTCAGAAAAGACCATTGTTGGTAAGATAGGTATGATCTTGGACCGAAAATAACCATCCATCGATTGTGTTATTTGTTAACGTTATTGCGATTGCACCAACCATAGATATACATATCTGCAAACAAGAGAAGTGTTCTAAATTGATTAGAACTCCTATGTTAGAGAAGTGTTCTAACTCTATCAGAACTTCTATGTTAGAGAAGTGTTCTAAAAACTATTAGAACTCCTCTCAAAGAAATGTTCCAAATATAAATTAGACCACTTATGCGATGTTTTCTTTCTATGAAATATACATCAAGTAAGTATTTCATTTAATTTTAAGTACTGATTTATCTGGTTTCTTTCTGACAAGATAATCTTGAAGATTATCTAATCTTCTAGAACCTACAATCGGTTTTATATTACAAATGGCTGTATCTGAAAAACAATCGTTCCAGAGTTGATGAAATCTGGTCGGAAAATCTTGCATTCCTTTTGAAAAAGAGAAATGACAAAAAATATTGACCTTGAAATCAATTTCAGCCTTCTTTTCATCATTATCTGCGGCATTTAAAAAGATTCTTCTTATTTCAGAATAATTCTTTTTTGTTGGCACCGCACATTGAAATGTTTGTAAAACTCTTTCAAATTGTTCAAGTACAAATTGTATTGGATATTTATTTAAAAGCAATGACATACATATATGAGTTTCTTCACGTTTAAATGTATCATAACTCGAAGAATATCTTATTGCTCGAACAAGAGCTACATAAGGAATATTCTTTTTTATATGTTGTGCATGTATGCTTGTGAAAGGGAGGAA